GTAAAGAATGATTAGACAAACTAGAACTCTTCAGCCTTCAAAAGATGTCTCAGAGGGGACCTTAGAGTGAGTGAGTGATTGTCTGCAAAGGTTTACATTGTGACAAATGTCAGTTGATATTTGCTCAGTAGTTATTATAATAATAATCCTTCCATTTAATATAGTGCTTTTTATGTCTTCTAGGCATCTCAAAGCGCTTCACAGAATACACTGTAAAGTGAATTGACTGTATACTTGTGGGTGCAATGTAGCAGCCAATTGCGCACAGCAGTGTCCCACAAACAGTCGTGGATTGAGTAAACAAATTATTTTATTTTTAGGGATTATTATCTGCCAATTGACTAAGAACCGGGTTCCTACTTACTGCTAGGTAAACAGAGGCATGTGGAGTAAGGAAACTTACCCAACATTTCACCCTGCCAGGAATCCAACCCACATACTGATATGCATATATCAGAGTTGTTGATATCTACAATATATGTAGCTGAAGCATGGCAAATCCATAAGGTTTGCTCCGCTTGAGCATGAGTAATCCTCTTGAAGCCCATCTTGGCACACTTTATTCTTTCCCTGCAAGTGATTGTGTTGTGATAGTGGTTAATAATAATAATAATCCTTGCATTTGATATAGCGCTTTTCACATCTTCTAGACGTCTCAAAGCGCTTCACAGAATATGCTGTAAAGTGAATTGACTGTATATTTGTGGGCGAAACGCGGCAGCAGCAGTGTCCCATAAAGAGTCGTGGATTGAAAATGACCAATTTATTATTGTTTTTGTTTTTTGGAGGAATTATTATTAGGCGTGTGCAGTAAGGAAACTTGCCCAAGGTTTCGCCCTTTACTACATAATGCACTCAGATTGTGAATGCTAATGCATGCTCTAGATTTTTATTCTCATGATGCTTGTGTACTTTTCTCTTTCATCTACTTCTAGTTTGCAGTTATTATATGTGACAAATCCAGATTATTGTGACCTGATTACTCAGGGAAATCTGTATGAAATCAGAGATGCTGAACTGATTGGTGAAGCCACAACCTTAAAGGCATACAAGATGAGAAATGAGTCCCATGTCCCATTTATGCTTAGTTTGTTGATGTCAAGAGTTGGGTCACTACTTTTGGTGTCAGTGGTCTGGGTGGTGGGTGGAGGGAGGGCCAGCAAGGAAGAGAGAGAATAGAAAGTTAAAGTCAGACTGAAGCTAGCTCCAACCCAGAAATTCCTGCTAGAGCATACATGATACGATCAGAATCGGGTTTGACTAAGATGCCTTCAGTGGTTCAGCAGATTGTTGTCACTTACAATCACACGTGAATTATTGCCACCACTAAGGTAAGACGTCAGAAGTTACCTACGGGGCCAAATCTATCCCAGTTAAAGGATATGAAGTCTCATACCTTCGAGGTGGGAGAAAATTGAATAAAAAAGAAGGTATAAGAAAAGGTGTTAAAGTAAATTTAGTCGGAATCTTTAACTTCTGAATTGACTGCGATAACTGGAGTTGACAGGTTCCAGATTGAATCAAAAACCAAATCCCTCACCAACACCCTCTCCATCAACAAGACAACCACAAGACGTTTTCATTTGTAGAGCGCCTTTCACATCGGGAGGACGTCCCAAGGCGCTGGACAGTTGGGTCAGGACCCGAGCAGGGGGGAAATGGTCAGGGTGAGGGGAGGGAGCGAGGAGGGGGTAGAGAGTCGAGAGGGGAGCTGAAGGCTCGGTCAAAGAGAAAGGTCTTGAGACCGGCCTTGAAGGAGGAAAGGGAGGAAGCAATGCGAAGGCTCTGGGGGATGGAGTTCCAGAGCCTCGGGGCTGTGAGGCTGAAGGCCCGGTCACCGATGGTAGGGTGGTTGGGGCGGGGGGTGTGGAGCAGACCGGAGCCAGAGGAACGGAGGGTACGGGCAGGTAAGTAGGGGGATAGTAGGTCAGAGAGGTAGGAGGGAGCAAGGCCGTGAATGGCCTTGTAGGTGAGGATGAGGATCTTGAATTCGATCCTCTGGGGGATGGGGAGCCAGTGGAGGCGAGCGAGGGTGGGAGTGATGTGGTCCCGAAGCCTGGTGCGGGACAGTACACGAGCTGCAGAGTTCTGAATGACCTGCAGCTTGTGGAGGGAGGTGGCGGGAAGGCCGGCGAGGAGAGAGTTCCCATAGTCCAGCCTTGAGGTGATAAAGGCGTGGACCAGAGTTTCAGCAGCGTGAGGGGTGAGGTAGTGCCGTAGTCTGGCGATGTTCCGGAGGTGATGGAAGGCGGTGCCAGTTGTGGTGCGGATGTGGGGAAGAAAGGACAACTCAGGGTCGAACAGAACCCCGAGGTTCCTGACTGGCTTTGAGAGGTGGAGAGTGCAGCCTTGGATGCTGATGCTGTCAGCGCCTGAGGTGCGGAGGCGCTGACGTGAGCCAATCAGGAGGGCCTCGGTTTTGCGCACGTTGAGCTGAAGAAAGTTGTGGAGTTGAGGGTAGAGGAGGAAAGGTAGAGTTGGGTGTCATCCGCAATGACACCCAAGACATGGAAGTTAACCACATGTCTGCGGATGATGTCACCAAAGGGGAGCATATAGAGGGTGAAGAGGAGGGGACCGAGAACAGAGCCCTGAGGGACATCGCACGAGACAGTGCGGGGGTGGAGGAAAAGCCGTTTGTGGAAACAAAATGAAGACAGTGGGAGAGGTACGACCTAAACCACTCAAGGACAGGGCCTTGAAGGTTTACGTGGGAGGACAAGCGGTGGAGGAGGATAGCGTGGTCGACCATATCGAATGTGGCCGATAGGTCGAGGAGGCAGAGGGAGCCCTGGTCGCAGATGGTCAAGATGTCATTAGTGACCTTGACCAGGGCGGTTTCTGTGCTATGGGCAGCACGGAAACCCGACTGAAGGGGTTCGAATAATGAATGGGTGGAGAGGAAAGAGCGCAGCTGGGAGGCGACGACTCTTTCAAGGACCTTGGACAGGAAGGGGAGGTTGGAGATGGGCCGGTAGCTTGATAGCTGCGATGCATTAAGGGAGGGTTTTTTCAAAGTGGGAGTGATGGTGGCAGTTTTTAGGGGAATGGGAACAGAGCCAGAGGAGAGGGACAGGTTGATGATGTCTGTGAGAAGTGGGGCAACGAGGTGGAGCTGGGAGATAAGGAGTGGAGTGGGGATGGGGTCAAGGGAGCAGGTGGTGGGTTTCAGGGACAGGATGAGTTTGGTGACAGAGGGTGGAGAAACGGGTGTGTCGGGGAGGATGGGTAGGAGTCGGAGTGTGGGAGGATTCCCTTGATTTTGGATTCAAGGAAATCCAGCATCTCCTCGCAGTGAAGGTTGGAGGAGATGACCTGCGTGGGGTGGCGGGGGGGACGGAGGAGTTGGGATGTGGTAGAGAACAGAAGCCTGGGGTTGTTCTTCGCCTCCAGGATTATCCTGGATTAGAAGGACGACTTGGCCGAGGCTAGAGTGGAGCGGTAGATTTTGAGGAGGTCCAGCCAGATTTGTCGAGATTGATCATTGGACAGTGAATACATTTGGATTTGAGCTCTTGCCAGATAGATAGCTGGTACCAAGAACTCCTTCCAAAGAAAATTGATGAGCTTCAATATAGCAGAGTGCATTATCAGCATCTCCCATTGAATGATGACTCCACCAGTTTGAGATGGAATGTTTTAGTAATTGCATAGCATTTTTATACATAGGAACAGGAGAAACCTCTTCAGTCCATTGAGCCTGTTCCACCAAGATTGATTCGTACTTTCTCTTTCCTCCCCACCCCATGTACTACCCGACTAAGGTCACCACTGAGTCCCAGATAAGGCATGTCCTTGTGGGCACACTTCAGGCAACAGCTTTCAGTTTTGCCTCAAATCACAAATCAGTTCTTTTGAGAAACTGCTGCCTTTCGTTGGAATGGACCCACTGGGCTGAATGGCCTACTTCTTGTTCACTGATTAACTGTGTAAAACAACAACACTTTGTATTGATATAAGTGCCTTTCACATAGGATAACCTTTCTGAGGGTTAGTTAAAAAAGCTGCAGATAGAAATAATTGGTTTATCTGGGCACATGCTGAAAAGCTGCTTTTATGCAAGTACCAACATTGCAAAGAATGAGGAATGTACTTGTCCCTGCTTGTAAAACACTATGTTACACAAAATAAAGAAATAAAGCACTGAACCTGTAGAGTATTGGTAAGAGCACTCACCTCACTTCAATTCCCGTATAGGACAAAATTTTAGACGGTTTCCTTTCTCCACATGCCTTCTGTTAACTAGCAGTGAGTAGGAACCCGGTTGTTAGTCAATTGGCGAATCACTTTCTGGGGCCGATAACACTTTTTTAAAAAAAATTGGTCACTCAATCCATGACTGTTTGTGGGACACTGCTGTGTTCAATTGGCTGCCCAGTTTTGCCCCCAAAAATATACATTCACTTTATAGTATATTCCGTAAAGCGCTTTGAGACGTAATATAAAATTCCAGGATTATTATTATTGTTTCTCCTGTCCCTATGTACAAGAATCCTATGCAACTACTAAAACATCCTATCTCAAACTGGCGGAGTCACCATTCAGTGGGTTAACCTCAAACTATCACTGCCAATACTGGATTGCAAAAACTTCGTGATGGAAGATTTTTTCACTGGAAACCCCACATTTCTGTGGGCACAGATATGGTCCAAGGTTTAATTGCTGACTGTAATCAGTACAATAGAAACTTATGTCAATAAACATATTGTTATAACTTGTGACAAATGTCTGTCCACAAGCGCTCATTGATAGCATTTTTATTGCATTATTGTTAATGACACAGGATTTGTTGTAATTATTAACTAGTTCTTACAACACCATGAAACTCCCTGCATCAGACACATGCCCTGATGCACCTTGCATCAGAGATAGATTTCGATTTGAATTCTGTGAACTTTGATTCTTTTAGTAATAGGTTGGAGCAGCTGGTTCGATACAAACCCTTCCCCCCCCCCCCCACCCCCCAACAGACACAATGATTTGGGAATAGATTTATTCTTTGCTTCATCCACGCTTCATCAAAAGCAGCAAGATACTGGTAGGCTGGTATTCCTGAGGAGGCTTATCCTGGGATGAGACTAACATTAGGAACTAAGAGGTAGAGGTTAAGGAAAAATACCTCAAATGTCTTTATTCACTGAAGATTATGACTGTTCTGGAGAAGAGAGTACAGATAGTGAGAGTGAAGCCATCTCCTCTGGAAACTCCTGGTTGTGGGTGAGTCTCTGACAATAATAATAATAATAATAATAATCCTTGCATTTGATATAGCGCTTTTCACGTCGGGAGGACGTCCCAAAGCGCTTCACAGAACACACTGTAAAGTGAATTGACTGTATATTTGTGGGCGAACGCGGCAGCCAATTGCGCACAGCAATGTCCCACAAACAGTCGTAGATTGAAAATTACCAATTTATTATTGTTTTTTGTTTTGGAGGGATTATTATTAGGCGTGTGGAGTAAGGAAACTTGCCCAAGGTTTTGCCCTGCCTGGAATTGAACTCAGGTCTATCGCTTGCAAAGCGAGTGCTCTAACCACTGAGCTACAGGACTCCACTGTAGCTTTGACAATGGTTTGATGTGTTAAGTACTGAATGTCTCTTAAGTACTTAACTTTGTGTGGTTGACCTGAATATTGCAACTGGGATTTTTTCAACCATTGGACCCATTACTAACTATTAGGAGCTTATGAGTACTGATTCATAACCCCTTTTGGTAACGTGCCTCCATTCCTTATTACTTTTGGGTTCTGGGAGGGGCAAACATTCTGTAATTCCAGCCTGTGCAGATTTGTGTGCGCCTTGGGACGTCCTCCCGACGTGAAAGGCGCTCTATAAATGGAATCTTGTTGTTGTTGTATATGTTATGGATTTGGAAGGCGGTGTTGGGAGGGAATTTCAGAGCAGATTTACCCACAAAAAGTGTTTGAGGGAAAACCTATAGAATTTCTATACAGTAAATTTTGTGCCTTAAGTTAGTTTGCAATTTTTGATGATGGCAACTTTCTACCTTATTTCATTGGCCCATTTGTACCAATGACTGGTACTTAAACCACATTGTAATGCTAGTCCACTTCCTTCATTTTCGAAAACAATTGTGCCTTCAGATGTTGGTGGAGTTCTTTTAAAAAAAGGACTAAATATAAAACTTAATTTAAGAATTTCTCCTTCAGGAATTGGTCTACGGTGACTGAGCCTTTGGGGTTGGAACAGTGATTGATGTAACTGTGATCCTGAGTCTCTGCTCCTGTACTGGCTTTCTCAGCTTGACCCCTCCTGTGCTTTTCACAGTTTCCGTTTTATTTACAGCAAGAATTTTCATTCATTCACTTTTTGCTCTGCTGGCCAATTTCCAAGTTGATGGTAGTTACTTTTGCTTCCTTTCCATTTACCAGCCATGCTTCGGGAGTTCTGAGCTCACTCATCTGACACTGAACTTCAGCCACAATCTGATAAAAGTAAACAATTGCTTCACAGCATTCTTCACTACAGGCCTCGTGTTCATGTTTAATCTTGAGTGTGCCCTTATTTTAAGGATACCGTTAAAGCTTCCTGCAGTTAAACGTTAACAAGACGGAAGCCATACTCTTTGGCTCCCGCCAACGTCTTCTGTCCCACAGTTCCGACCCCCGCAACCTACCTGACCTGTCCTTAAAACTCTCTGAACCCGTGCGCAACTTAGGCATCAGGTTCGATCCCCAGTTATCCTTCCTCCCCCACATCCGGTCCCTTGAGCAGCACCGCTTTCTTCCACCTCCGCCACATTGCCTGTCTCCGATAATACCTCACCCCAAAAGCTGCCGAAACCCTTGTCCATTCCTTTGTCAATTCTCGGCTGGACTTTAACGCCCTCCTCGCCAGTCTCCCCTTCTCCACTATTCATAAAATCCAGCTCATTTAAAACTCACCTGGACCAAACTTGGTACTGTAAATAAAACAAATACTCCAGTCCTTGCCAAACTCCACTGGCTCCCTGTCACAGAGCGGGTCGACTTCAAGATCCTCACTCTAGTGTTTAAATCCCTCCATTCCTTGGCACCGCCCTATCTCTCTAATCTCTCTCCACACAGCAGTATCCACTGCCTCCGCTCTACTGGGTCCAGCCTCCTCCGCAGCCCCCGAATCCTCCGCTCCACCAACTCCCTCCCTCAACCCCTTCGCCTCACCCCCTCCTTCCCCATCTTCAGGTCGCGTCTGAAGACCTTTCTTTTCGACCGCGCCTACGGTCACCTTCCCCCTCCCTCTGGCTCGGCCTTGAGCTCCACCATTGTTAAGCGCTATGAGATGCTGCCCGGTGTGGAGGGCACTGTACAAGTGCAAGATGTTGTTAAAGTATATTGCAGGGCACCAACATTTCTTTGGTAAATTACACAGTTCTGAAATAGCGATTGTGGTTATATTCCTAGTTACGGTTATGTCTACTGAAGTCACAAAGCCACTTCCGTTGGTGACTGTTATGTCCAAGATCATTTCTCCTTTTTCTGTGCTGCAATGCCCAAACTCAGTGATATCAGAGCTAGATTACCATTGCATGTACTTTGGTTCAGATTAGTTTGTTTTAATTGCCTGTTTCCATACTGTAGCGCATTTTCTCCTATTTTTGATTTATGGTTTTGTCCTTGCACAAGGAACTATTTTCCTATTGATAGGTGGGAAGTCACAACAAGCTTTGAGCAACCAATAGGGAGAGTATGTGCTTTCAAAAGTAATGCAGCCAAAGGTGACTGTCGTTGTCTGTGTTCTGCTCGCCAGCCTCCCACAATGCGGAGCTCTGAGATGGTGGCGGGTATAAACCCAAACCCATGTTCTGCCACGCTGTGGTAGGGATGAAGCTTTGAAGGTGGTGATAAATGGAAAAAAGTCATCTGAAGAAGGGCAATTCGTTCAGCAAGATTCTTTGTAGACTACTTTGTGGCACACTATTGTGGTGATCTGAACTTGTGCAGAAAAGAAGCCTGAAAAACGACGAACATTTTAGAAAAGGGCTTGCTTGCAAATATGCAGCGCACAAACTGCTTGACAAGGCCTCCGATTAGCAACACTCATTGTATCACTGCAGCTGCAAACCACCCAACATCAAAGGCTGTCTGGCTGTACAGTTCCACCTCACCCCCTGCCCCCGCCCCGCCCTGCTCAACATACTTGAACCTGCAGCAAGTCAACGGCCTACTGTGTCCTATCACCAGAAGCCAAGCCCTCAGCTACTTTACCTCCACCTCTGGAATCCCTGAACCCTCTCTTGCCCTCCAACAGTCCACTGGCTGCAAAGTGTGTGCATTCTGTGTTGCCTCAGTTTCCAGAATGCTTGACAGTAATGTGTTAACCAAGTTATTAAACTGGTTGTTAACAAGCCACAGTCCTCTGGTATCCCACTCGAGTGGTAGTTCTTTGGGTATAAACAGACTATTTGAATGGATGGGGGGAGGGTGACTGGAGAAGAGGGGCAAGAATTGCAGCTGGTCACTAGGAAGAGATCAGCAATGTCTGCTCCCCTGGCCTTTTTACTTGAGGTGTCTAGACATTGAGGCTAAATGTGGTGTCCCCCAAAATTCTCTTTTTTAAAAAAAAAGCCTGCTTTGTCTGTACTTTCAATGCTAGTAAACTATTTCTGCACCTTTTTACGAGACATGATTTTACATCCTAGTATGGTATGTTGTAATGTTATAACAGAAAATGAAAGTCAAATTTAAAATAACCAATCAGCAACACCTAGCAGTTGCAAAGCACTGAAGTGTTACTTAATTCTCCTTATTGCAAAAGTTTTTTTTTAAAAAAACCTCAGGGCCTCTGAGAACGAGACTTCCTCTAACCTACAAATAGTTGAGATGTGGTGATGGTGTACAGAATAACATTGTGATGTAAACAAAATATCTAAAAGATACGAGGTTTGAACCACTTCAAGCGTTTAACCATTTTAAGCTACTAAACTTTTAACGTAAACTGCATTCCATTTAAAGTCTCACAAAGGTTTCCTCTCTGTTTGTGCTTGTGTTACACGACCAAGCCTGGATTGGCCCTGGAATGTTAATTGATGGGTTCATTCGTTGTCACCTGGGTATCTTGTGAAGAATTTGGAAATGATATGAAGGGTGAAATGAGGGGATAATAGTTCAGTGTAAAGTTTAAGGCTGTACAGCTATTGGAGTTGTCCTGGTGATATTGGTTTGTTGTCTGATGCCTTTACAATTCTACTGGTAACAATTTGTAGAAACAAGAGCTGAAAAGCTCATCTTATTAAAAGTGAACAGCTTGTTTTTACAGCAACTGACTTGGAACTAAACCAGAAGAAAAGTTGCTTCATCTTATACATTTGTGCTCGGTGTGGACAGGGTAGCTCTGCATCGTACATAAAGTCAAATAAACATAGCTGTGAATGCAGGTCTCTATTCTCAAAGTGGTTTAAAATAAGTAGCAATATCAAAGAGGCTATCAAATAATTTCACTATTCACTCAGTTCAGGGTGAATGAGGGTGCCGCTCGCCTAGTTTCTCCGTGTGACACTCTGAAGAGGAGGTAAGCAGGGTCTCCTTGGAGCTGAACTGGCTCCAAGGTGATGTTTGGCAATGGAATGTCAGAATCAAGACAACCTTCTGTGGTGGTCTCAGTTGTCGAGTTCCTGAGCCAGGTGGCTCCGCAGTGCTTCAGGGCATTGCTGATGACAGCGCGGCCTGGCTGATCGGCAGGACTTGGAGGAGCAGACCAGTCACTGGGGGCAGGGACTCGTCCCAACTCCCGTTAGCCCTGCTAGCCAAAACTATAACCGATAGGGCGGTCCTAGCTGGACAAGCAGCGGTAAAGCTTGCAAGGCAGTGCCCCCAATGGCAAGCTATGTGGTGTTAGCTGGTTAGACTCTGGCACTTAAGCTTAGTCATGGGTTTCCACGTGTTTTAGACACCTGATTGACCAAACAAAAAAAATCCTTCAGACATGGTGCTTGTTGAATGAACATCAAGTACCTTCCACAGAAGGAGAGATGTCATTCCAAGCTGCTATTGGTGCCCACCAACACCCTACTGGACAAGGATAACGTGTGAACTAGAAAATCGAAGCTAAGGGAGGAAAATGTAAATAAGTAGAAATGTAATGTTTCTGTAGATGTTAAAGATCCCATTGCAAAAGAGAAGGGAGTTTCTCCTGATGTCCTGGCCAACAATTCCCCAAATAAAATTGGTCAATTACTTCATGGTTGTTTGTTGGACATTGTTTTGCCCAAATTGT